TTGGTCTGGGCCCGAGGTGGGCTTAATAGCCGGCGACTACTGTATTGTGAAAAAAGAGGATAAGGCAAATGCATCGAAAGTCTACTTTAAGATAAACAAACCCACGCACCGGTCGCAGTCGAGCCTGAAGGCAATATTTATCAATTGTTTTGGTGTTAAAGAGTAAGCACCCCCCGTTATATTTTAGCGGTAGACACTTTATTTACTCATAAACCGTTTAAAAATGCATGCAATGACCTGCCTGAACTTAGAAGAATCAGCATTGTGGACGCTTTCACTGAACAGTACTAGTCATTCGATTTGAATGGAGTTAGCCCGCCATGATTGAAAATTTACTTTTCATTGTGGTGGAAGTGTCTTCTGTTTATTGTATTGCATTTACCAACAAAAGTCCGATTGGATGGATTAAAAGTGAGTCGAACGCGACGGTTTGTTCATACACACACGCAAGACTCTGGCCACCCTCGTTACAGTCCAGTGCATATGAGGTGGGGACTGGGTGGTTTTTGGTATGCCTAGAAAAGCTATTGAGCTTTGCCTGCCACTGCGTCCACGCCCACCTCCGAGCATCTTACCATCGAAGCAATGTGGGTGAGGCATAAGATGGTGCGATGCATGTTGCGCAAGTCTGCCTCACCATACACTAATGTAACACACAAAGAGACTGGATGGGTTGTTTAAGTGCATTGAAGACGGGCACTTTGGCTCGAGCCCAGGATGGGAATGGTGTGATCGACTATCAGTGAAGGTGCCACCGCCCTTTTCCTCTCTCATAACCGCTGACTTCCGTCCTGCAACCCTCGTAGTCGTATATCGTCCCGCTTCCTCTCACGCAAGATTGACATCCCCAAGTCCCACCCCTGCAGTTGCCCAGAGCACTACGCTCTCCACCGGCAATCCAACGGACACGAATGAACAGTCCCCCTCCCCCCTCCAGATGTGAGCCTTTTATATGTAACGCTCTTCTCTTGTTAAATGCAATGCATCTATACGTCTATCATCAGTAGGCTAGTTTTCGCACATTTTTTCCCTCTTTTATCACGTTATTAGCAGCCCTGTGTGCTTGGTGTGGCGTTCATCAGCGCTGTTCATAGCTCGCACTGACTGAGACACCTTCAGGTCTCTTATCCGCTCATGTATGTGTGTGCCAACCGCAACGTTTTCGGCCGCTACACTAATTCACGCGCAAGATACCGGTGCTGAGACTAGCGGATGAGACACGCGGTAAACGCGGTTGGTTGCGACGGTCAAACTGTTGTCTTCTTCGTAGACGACGTAGAGCCAATTAAACACCATCGTCGCCGGCATCTTTATCACTGATGACACAAGCATCACCACTGCTTTCGAGTACGACAAACATGTCGCGACAAACTGACCTCTTAAGACCCACCGACGTGACGGTCATGTCCGTACTTACCATTCCTATGGTCATCACCTAAGCTGAATGCAGCTCTGAGTTTTTTCAGGCTTTTGTTTATCTGTGTGACTAGATTTTTCACTTTGTTGGCACGACATGAGTTATGAAATGGTTGGTCATCGAGAAAGTGCGTGCTTTGTTCTAGTAATTTTACCTGTTGAGCACTACTACGGAACCATCTTTATCAGCGGGTAGGAGTATTATGTTTTTATTGGCTCTTTGCGATTAATTGTGGTTAACGCTTTTACAATAGGGAACCAACCGAGCTGCTCAAAACTTCAGCATGTGAATAAATGTGTTCCGGTGAGCCCGACTTATTTTTCAATTTATGAACTGGGAGCACCCAACTTTGCCAATCCGAGAAGTGATTTTTGGTCCTTCAGTATTCGGCGTCTGTCGATGGCGAAGAAAATAGGTAGTATAGATCTGCTGCCGTGGCTCGCCACGCTTTGAGAGGTATATTTCATGGCATAATGGTGACCGGCTAGGTCAGGCACGATCGCAGCCGTAAGAAAGCATAAATGTAACATCAGTAAGTGAAGATCAAGCTTATTTTCTCTTTCCCCACTCCCACAAGCCCTTGGGCTGTCCGAGAACGTCCACTGACTAATAGTAGGGTGTTGCACAGTGGCTGGTATGGCATTAAAGACGTCGTCTAGGTGTGCCACACACATGTACGACAATAGGCTCAGTCAGCTGGACTAACACATGCCATGAGCCACTACCGATCCCTTATCGGCTCAGCAAAATTACCATTCAGGGTGAAGGAGTGGGCGGGGAGGGGACATTGCCGTGATTCAGTCCAACAGAGAATAATTATCATAAACAGTGAGTACAGTGTGCCGAAAAGAAGGTAGCATGCACAAAAGTCCTGTCGATCAAGGACTACCCGTATACGGGTGGAAAAGGGAGGATGGATTAACCGATTTATCGTCTCATGCAAGCCTGTAGTTACACTGGCCAGACCATAGGACTAGCATCACAAATTGGGGAATAAAAACTCGCAGTGGGGATGGCTGACCTATTGTCTAAAGCATCTGACGACAGCGTGGAGGTAGGCTTCGAATTTGAATTAGTGGGTAAAAAGGTACTGTTAGAGACCAGCGTAAAGGCAGGCTGAGGGTTGCGTCGGGTCTGCACCGGGAATCCCAAAAGTAAAATCGCTCCTGCTGCTGTCTGCTACTAACATCTCTAATGAAGAATCTGGGACGGATGCCGAAACGTCAGATAAATAAACGTGTTACTCCAGCGACCGAATCTACTCCTTCTCAATCGACAAGTCATTCATCTCTAGGCCACCACACATTGGCATTGCAGGACCAGGCGTAAAGAGTCCATTTTCAGTCAAAGACGGACGTCGTGAGACTATAAAAAACGTTCATTTTCTCGCTAGTTGACTGGTTGTCACTAATTGCGAGCTGCCAGACATGCCTGAAAACTCAGGAAAATAAAAACAATTGTTGCGCGAAACACTGTCTCTATTTTATTTCTTTCTAGAAACTCGTGCTCTTGCGACATAGAAAATGGACTGGAGTGTACGAGGCATGACTTTGGGTGGAGGAAGTGAGGAGATAGCTTGTAGAAATTAAAATAGCCACGAGGCGACGAAAAATGTAAATGGTGCCAGTAAGTAGAAGCAACTGAGGTACCTGAAGCTCAGTCAGAATTCCGCGCACATCCTCAATAATGACATTATGAGCTTTGCGCAGGAGGGCCCGGGCAGTGTTGGACAGCACAGAAGAGAGGTGATCCTCAGCTTCCAAAAGGAGCGACTGTGTGTCCTGGTGAGAGCCAGGGGGGATGGCACTGAGGAACCTTTCCACACATCGAGCGGACAAGCATTCCGTCAATATAGGAAGCCTGGACGTCACGGAAGTCCTCGCTAGGCCGGTGCATGACGCCAACTTAAACAAAATTAGACAGGCAGACAATCAAGGACCAATATAAATCAATCGCTAACAAGGTATCGTTAGTCAGTGCAGGTATCTCCTGATACCGACTAGGCATATCGGCGGATGGATGCAAACCGTGGTTCTTTTGGGGCCCCGCCAACAGCCGCACAGTGGTTAGTATTATATTTTAAACATTTTTTCCGGGTAAGAATTTAAAACAAGCGTACATAGCAGGATTTATTGGTACCAAGAAATTTCGCGACGACTTTCCAACTGTCCGAGCACGAACAAATGGAGCCCCTTCGGTACATGGAAGCAGTCTATATACGGCGGGAGAAACCTGATCTGTGTAAGTAATTAGATCATGTGCCTAATCTCCAATTGTCCTGGGAACCGCGGGCCTAGATTTAATCACACTTTGACTGGTGTTAAATTCTTCTCCCCTTTTGCCTTCCTATATTCAAGTTTGAAATTAACATTATTATTGATTAATTTCCGCATTGAGCAATGGACCTAATGCTATGTATTGATTGTTGTGTAAATTCAAACGGTTGTGTACTTCTAATTGTTATCTACGTCATGCAAAGACGGGTAGCAGTTGAAAATTCGTCGCGAAATTTATTGGTACTAACAAATCCTGCTGTATACGCCTTTTTTAAGTTAGTATTATAGACTGCAAACGATAACTCACAAAGCTAAGGGAATTGAAATAGTGAAAACATATTCTAGGCACATCAAAGTAAAATCAAGCCATTTAACAGTACGATTGAAGTGCACTCAAACCCATACAAATTATAGCCAGATAATGTGAAATTGTGAAATTCTAGAGCCTTGAACTTGGGTGCACGAACACATGCGGAGGATGCGAAGCAATGCGCCTAAGGTAATTGAGGCTTTTATGAGTACTAAATAAAAATATCCTCTATTTTTCATTCTCTTCGCTGTATTAGACATGCAAATTGTGCCTACAGATTGCTTCACAAATCCGTACGAACACCTAAGATAACAGCGAAAGCTGGCTAAATCGCAAGGAATTGTACCATCAACTGTTACTGACCAAAGCTGAACTTACCCAGCTCTAATAAGAGGTGAAGGCGTCGAGATCCCTTAGTCCTAGGCGTCGTGGTTTGTATGTGCATTTGTGCTTGTCAGGGGTTTGAAGAGGTAGCCTCAAAAACGGGGTTATTTTGCAGATGCGCTATACTAAATAGGGTCAAACTTGCTCACAGCATGCCTGCATCGAATTTTGGAGAGTTCGCGCGAGTCCATAACCACTGCTATACATTTGTGTATTGTATACATTATACGTAGGCCTTCACATAGCTTCAGCCGCTGCATCCAATACCATCAACTTTTGCTGACGGGTTCGGACGGTCGACTGGCGCTCGAAAGAGCGTGAGTGAGAAGTCAACACTAAGGAACCCATCGTCACAGGATATCAGCGCATTCTTCACCATAAAGCTATAATCGCGCGCTAACAGTGGTGTCCCAAGGCATAATGGGATGAGTACGGCCCAAAACGCGCCCCTGTCCATAAACAGGTCTACGTGCAAAATAAAAGGTTTACCTAGAAACTAGATAGACTTGAATGCTTAAACAGTATCAGAAAGACCGAAGGTGGATCCCACCACAGTAGCTAACAGAGCCAAACATTCTGTCTACACGTGCCACATACAAGACCTGGGCTTAACTGTGTGCACTAGCTTACTGTTGGTAGTGACGAAGTTCTCTCGCGAGGGTGTCACAAAGGCCATATTGGAGAAGAGTTACGGCAGCCTGTTTTACAGTCCTAGGAAGGTTAGATTTATTCTGTCAGTTAGCAACATCCCAAGCCACGGCTCTTCGCAGGTGGTGATAAATTAGAGCATGTCCAACTTATTATAGTGAAGAATACGCTGTGTCGTGAGTATGGATATATCAGGAGGCCTCAAGTTATCTTCCTTCTCCCATGCACTACTCGACTATCCAAGCCCCCTAGACCAACTCGTAGGGATTTTGAGCGTAGTGGCTGATGAAGTGTGAGGGCCTGCATCCAAAGCGCGTCATCATACGCACGTACGGTAGAAGTTAGGGGTTATCGCGAGGCAAAGTGATGTCCGTTTTGTTCCAACACATCTTCAGCACAGCCAACTGCGGGTGCCAGACAGGGTTAGCAATAATATGAACACAACGAAACCCTGAAATTATCACAAGGTGACAAAGATATTTGCTGTCGGACAAAATTACAGCGTTATACAGAGCAAACGACGCCATTACTGAGTTTAAAAACTGAGGAGATAAGGCAAAGGGCACGCATACATATGCACATGGAGAGCAGGGCACTAAAACAACTACCATTTACGAGATGCCGAGAAGGAAAAAACGGAGAAGAGAGAGCAGCAAACGTACGGAAGACTCCGTCTGCGTTTGAGCAGAAACCAGGGTGATGAGGGGTGGAATCTTGGATCGCAGAGCATCCAACTCAGTCTTCAGACCCTGTACCGCCAGCTGGTGCTCGGCCGCTAACTTCTGCTGTTGGGCAGTTAACTCTGCGGTAAGACGACCTTCAAACTCCGCTTGCAGAGAGGAGCGAATGCGCACGCTCTCCGTGGCACTGAGAGCTTCCTGTGCCTCAGGACTGGACAGCCAGGCTGCGCGGGCCTGATCCAACTAATGGACAAATTGAAATCAAGAGTAGAAAAGTTAGTTGTTCAGAACACAGAGAAAATTTTCAGCATTAGCAGGTGATAATCACGCAAAAGTAGTCGTTGTCGACGGTGCCAATCAAGACGATAGGGTGGCTTCCTGATGTTTATTTTGAAGCCAGCAACCAGCCAACCAATTACATCTGCCTGGGCCATGTATCATACGCACAGAACGACTGGCTTAAAAGTCGGGGTAAATTTGCCCTTACGGTAGAGGCTTAGTCACGCATGAGGTAAACCCGAACCCAGCCAATGAGCTAC